GAGTGATGGGTCTGGAGAACAAAGCAATAAAATGAATGGGGAGAGAGACTTTTATGGCCCTCCCAAAGGACATTGCACAGAAAGCCACTGAGGGAGCAGGGCAGCCTCAGAAAGAAACTCTGAGTGGCTGATAAAGAGATGAAAGAAGAGAGAAGGGGTGTATAGCCAGCCTCCAACATGGTTCCCATGAGCCTCACCTCCTGCTCGTCATGCCCTTGTGTAGTCTCTTCCCGTGCTGAGCTGATACACGTGACTACTAAGACATTAAGGAAATGGTGGTGCCTGACTCCCAAGGCGAGGTCGAAGAAAGGGGGCACGGCTCTCTCTTTCAGATCTTTTGCTCTAGGGAAACCTCGCTGCCATGTTCTGAGAGTACTCAGCCAATTACGGAGAGGTTCAAACGCTGAAGAACCGAGGCCTCCTGCCAAGTGCCACCATCCACTCGACACTACATGAGTGAGCACCTTGGAAGGGGATCCTCTGTCCCCAGCCAACCTTGAGATGACTGTGGCCCTGGTGTGCGTGTTGACTACAACCTCATCAAAGAGTTTAAGCCAGAAATACCCAATCTGGTCCTGAATTCCTGTATGAGAACAAAATCTTTTATTGTTGTTTTAAGCTGCTAAGTTTGGGGATAACTCATAGCTAATAGAATTATCTGTAGATGACTAGTAGGATGGAATAGAGAGAGAGGAAAGGAAAGCAGAGACGAAAGACAGAGTTGGGAGGAAAATTGTAATAGGAAAGCAGAGGTGGTAATAAAATCTGGAGTCTGACTTCTCTCACTTTCTCTTTTCTTCTCCTACGCGGCTGCATGTCAATTTCTTTTCGAGTGAAATTCCCCTCAGGTGAAAACTGAACCTGGAAACACCCCAAGGCTGACAGTAAGAAAGAATGACAAAGCTATTCTAAGGCCTTCTCTTTGTTTAGCCAGTGAATCTCAACCCTGTGCTACTGGTCCCATTAACCCCCTTGTTATAGATGAGGGTGATGTGACTTGCCCAAGGACACACAGCTAAGTGAATGGCCGTGTGAATACCAATCCCGGGCATTCTGGAAATGTTTAATTGTTACGGAGGACAAAAGAAAAACAGAATCCTAACAAGCTAGCATCCTCTCGATATGGGCCTAGTACAACTTGGCACAAACTAGCCTTACTGCAAAGGCCTGCGGGCTCCCCATGTGCCCGATGGACCGCCGTGGCGGAGGTGCTCATGTCTCGCCTGCAGAAATGCCTCCTCCCCAGGTGACTATCACCATGAGTGGCGTCACCCTTTAGGAAAGCCAGATTTCCTAAATCCATGCAAAAGCAGAGCCAAAGTCTAATACCAAGGGACTAGGGTCTGGGGATGAGGTCCCATGAGACTTGCCAGGTGGCCTCAGCATCTCGTTTCCAACCATGTTTCACAGGCTGGCCTGGCTTTCTCACTGGGTCCTTGGAGGCTAGTCATGGCTGTGAGCGTGACAGAGAGCAGAGCTGTCTTCCTCTCGGGGAAATTACTGGGAAAACTATGAGTGCTTCTGTGGGAGGATGGCTGCTTTTGTAATTCTCATCTTTTTCGATGAGCAAACAAAAATGCTATTGACACTGTGGCCACAGATGAAACATGCCGACATCACTCTATTTTCATTTCCAATGCTTTATGCTCTCCCTGTTCCCACCACAACACCAGCGATTCCCAGAAACTGGTGCAAAGGGGAACACATTGTGTCAGACTTGTTTGCTTAATTCTCTACTATCTAAAACCCAGACAGGAAAAAAGGAAAAAGGGAAAAAAAAAATCTGCCCAAAGCTGTGTCCTGGCAGAGAGAGAGAGAGACATGAGTGTCACACACTGTCCTGGCCTGGCTTGCTTGCTTTCATCAATTCTCTGACCCTCTGAAAAAAGATGATCTAGCTCCAAAGCCACGAAGCCTCCAACTAGGATAAATAGTGGCAAAAACTTTCTGCCCATGAAAAACAGTCCTCCATTGTCAGACAGTCCCCTCTTAATTGATCTTAATAAGCTATTTTACATGAAGGGGAAGGAAAAAGCGTAGCACTAACACGGGGTAATTAGCTGTAATTCTCCATTTGTGATGTTACTGAATAGAGAAAATAATGCCAATGTGGACAGATGCTGACTAGAGCTTTGCAATGACACAGAAATTAGGGTTATTTTGTACAGTAAGTAACAGGACTAAGTTGTAATATTTCAAAGACAGGTTTTCATCCCAACGACAATATATCCCACGGACTGCTGGGAACTGTAATGGGATAAAATCTCCAGTGGGAATAGGCAGGGGTAGTTTAACACTGTGTCCTAAAGCTGATCAGTGTGGCAGAGACTCGTGTACCTGCTAATATTTGATGTAAAATTCAATGATTCTACATCAGCTTTAAAGTGAGAAGAGAAATAGATCGGTTCTTTGGCTTAAAAGAACTATAACCCTAGCATTTTTAGAGGTAATTTAAAATCAAGTGTCCTTATTTGACAGATGAGAAAAAGAAAACCCAGAGGTCTCACAGGTGTTAGCAAAGCCCCTGGCCTCAGGTGTGGTGGAGAACGGGTGGGGGTGAAGGGTCCTAGAAAGACCACTGTTCTCTATCTTACCGATTTCATTTTACCTCCAACAATCAGCATTTCCCTTTACGTTTTTTTGACACCAATAAAGAATCCTTCGGAATTTGCTGTGTGCCCCAGACTGTGCACTAAATGCTATGGTTACCATAATAATTAAGACAAATAGAGTGAGAATAGTCATCTAATGTCTCAGCAATAATCCAAATAATCACATTTTTTAAATTTCACGAATCTTCAATCCAAAAACGTGAGTGAACTTGTGGGAGTGTGTGTACGCATGTGCGAGGCTGTGGGGGTGCACCCGGAGCACGGAGCAGCATCTAGAGCTAGAGGCACCCACAAACAAAGGACGACACTGGCTTTAGAGCTGAAGCTAGACTAGGAAGAGAGGGGAGCTCGGGTTACCAATGGAGAACAAAAAAGGGGAGGTGAGCAAGACCCTGGGTGAGCAGGGACTGAAGCACCAACCCGGGAAAGCCCCAGGCAGCCCTGCATCGAGGACCCCAGCCCTGCGTGGGGGAGGAGGCCAAAGGACTCCTGCACGTGGTTCACTGGAGGGCTCATGCTGCGTTACCAATGTCCAACACTAGGAGCCGCTTGCTTTTGCTTTAACGATGAAACAACTAGAAAAGAGGTGAACCAACTTGAATTAGTTTTACTTTAGTTCTCTTGAAAGTTACTCAAATGAAAAACAGTGCACCTTTTACCAACTCTTGGGAAAAATAAGTTGGGAAAGAGGAGCTGAAAATACTTAGCTTATTGGTGAATTTTAGTTTCTATAACTTCTTTTGGAATTGACGGTTAAGAATCCGTTGAAATCCTATCACGAACTGACCTAAGCCGATTGACAACTTCAGAAAATGCTGGGTTGTTACAAATATAAGGAGCTCCCAGCACTCAGAGTAGGTGAGACCTAGTGCTTCCAATCCCAAACTGACCTCAGTCCGAACCCTGCCAATCTACAGAAGCAATGATACACAAGAACAGTCTGTCTTTTTCTGGAGGAAGTTTCTTTTCATGCATGACTGCAGGCACATAGATGAGAACTGCAAGTTCCCTCAGGGATAGACCCCACCGTCTCAGGGCAGGATAAGCAAGCTTAGAGCTGGGTGGAGAATGAAACCCTTTGGGAAGCGGGGGAACCACAGATCTCACTGATCTGAAGAGGTCAGGAATCCCAGCTTGGCAGGTTCTCCCTCCTCATTCACTCAAAGGTGGGTGGGTCGGTGGGGCTCTCGCCGTGTTATTTTACCAAAGAAAAATATTTTTCAACATCCTTAAGGCAAAGAAATACCTCAGATGATACCAACCAATTTTGGAGAATATATTCCTAATGAGGGTATTTCCACTGTCAACCAAACATGCCAGGAGCAGGGAAGTTAACGTGTACGTACTTACATGGATGGCACTCTGCATACTTCAGCATTCTTACAGAACATGCCCATAAAGACAGTTTGATTGTTTCTACACATTGTTAAAGAAGGAACCTGTCCTTCTTTAACCTCAATAACTTATTGCTGTTTGACCAGTTTGCTCAGTGGTTAGAGCATCAGCCTGCAGACCCAAGGGTCATGGGTTCGATTTCTGGTCAAAGGCACATACCTTGGTTGCATATTTGATCCCCAGCCCTGCGGCCGTTTGGGAGGCAACCATTCAATGTGGACACATGATGTTTCTCTCTTTCTCCTTCCCTCCCTTCCATGCTATCTAAAAAACAAACAACAAACAAACAAACAAAAACAATGGAAAAATATCCTTGGGTGAAGATTAACAACAAAAAATTATTGCTATTTTACCCAGAACATTCTCTTATAGATTTAAATTACTGAGAGTTACTAAGTCAAATTAAGCTTGAAATTTTTCAGATTTGGTTTTGCTCACCATTCTTCTTTCTGTTAGATAAAATGCCTTTTAAACCAACCAGTAATCATGTAAAGTTACTGTTTCTATAAGAACATTTATTTCTAGGTTCTTCACCAAAATGAACATATTGTTCTTGTGTTGTGACTTGTATATATACGTATTACACCAGTATCTCACTCTATTTTAGACTTTCACAGAGTCAAATTACATTAGCAATATTAAAGTCGTGAGTCAAAATGAGATTTTTAAGAAGAATCATAGCGTTCTCCAAGGCTTCATCATTCCAAGTCATTTTGCTAATAACAGGAACACTGCTACTGCTAGTATTTATCCACGTCATATTCAGTCCTAACCACAACCTCAGATTCTCATCAGTTCAGAAGAGTTCATTGAGTTGGCCAACATTACAAAGTGACACAGGACACAGGATCCAAAGCCATGTCTTCCTGGCTCCAAATTCTGACCTTATTCCTTCTCGTTCTGTTACTGCACCCAAGCCCCTGAAAAACTATTGGATATGCAACTCAAAAAATACCAAAATCACACCACCATGCCACATATGCTATTTCATACCTTCAATCCTCTGAAACTTCCTGGGCTAGTTGGAGAGGAACTGGAGGACTTGGTAGACTTAGGAGTGGAGAGCTGGCTGCTGGGAGTTCCATTCACTGACCAAGAGACACAGAGGAGACAGAGGTCATTGAAACTCAAGACAACCAGACTGAGTCCAAACACTAAGCGCATGCGTAAAGCTTTGATTCATTGAAAGCTCAAAGCAGATGGCAATTCAGCAAAAAAGCAAAAGTAATGTATTGTGTTGTACTGTATTATATTACAGACAAAGCGGTAGACAAATAAGGAGTGAAACTAGGATTATTTTTAATAGTAACTTTGCAACAGTGACATAAACAAAGATACAAAACATTATGGAACTAGAGATGTGAACAAGAACTTGTCCATATATCCTGCCTGCCTGCCAGCAAAGGTAGGAAAATGAATGAGTGGCTGTTACCTCTATGAAGATTGTCCCAGGACCTCCAACATCCCCTGTCTTGGTAATTACCATCCTGAATAACCAAAGACCTTCTCTAGCTCTCCCAAATCAGTTCCACCACAATCCAAACACATTTTCTAAGTACATTCTTAACGGAAAGGGGAAATTCATGGTCATCTTCCTTGTAATATCTACTTATTTGTTTGAAGGTCATAAATACCACTCTTCAGCTTTCTTTTTACCTAGACTAGTTATTTCTAATTCATTTTCTTTGCTTCACAGATTAAGTTCCTCACTATTCAGCAAGGTTCATAGTTTCTTATATGCCCTCCTCCAAATTTCCACAGACTTCAAGGTTGAAAGTTCAATTCAGAGCCTATGCTAGGGAAAGTATGTCCATGCTGTTCACGGGAGAAGGCTCATCACAGCCTCTACACTGCAGAGAGCTGGTCAAACAGCTGAACTGCTGGTGCTTACTCCTAACCGCATCACCCGGATCCATGTCTGCTGTAATTTCACAAAGCTGCTACTTAACATCCGACATTGGTGGAATTTTTTGCTCTTCTAAGGAGTATTTAATAACCCCTTTTGTCATGAATCTTTTTTTTTTTGGACATTTTTCCATTTTTGGTTCAGATAGAGTAGAGAGGGAGATAGAGAGAGAGAGAAACATCGACGTGAAAGGGACACATCGAGTGGGTTGCCACCCGCACAACCCAACCAGGGCCGGGGACAAACTGCAACCGAGGCACATGCCTTTAGCGGGAACCGAACCCGGGTCTCTCTGGACCGCAGGCCAACGCTCTACCACTGAGCCAAACCGGCCAGGGCAGACCTTTAATGCTTTTGCCCAAAGTAGATCAAAACTGGCATTCATCTCTATGGAAAGAAAAAACAAAGTCCAGTTTCTTTTCTTGTTTTTTAGTATGAGGGAGCAGATAACTATTACTTTAAAGGATGCTAGTACAAAATACAGACATAATCAGTTCTTAGTCCTAAGTGATTCAAAGAGGTGAGCACCAGTCCATGAGTAAAGGTACAAGGCCTGGATCTGGTATTTGTGATTAGATAAATCATATGTACACATGGGTTTATAGGGATCTAGGAAGTCATGTTTGCTTATTGTATTGTTCATTTTGAAAATTCAGTGAAAATAAAAATTTTTTTCAATTTATTTCTGGATTACCAAACTTTACTTTTTCTCATTTAAAACTTCTCAAAATAAGTATTGGTTATTTACATTTTCTTAGAGGGCTAGTACAACACAAGTAACTATTCAATAAATTAAAAACTTGTAAGAGTATTTAACAGCTCCGATTTTTTTCTCAATTAAGTTAGATTTCAATTAATGTTATCTTTTTTAAATTCCCTTGAAAGGGAACTGGTGGTAGGAATTCATACACAATAAAGATTATCACAGACACTGACTAGTCAACTTGCTGTAAGTCTAGACATTTTCCTTGTATCCCAGACAGCAGTCTGCACGGGTTACCAGGTCGTCCGCAATAAGTGCTGTTCGCTTTCGGTAATATTCAGACACTACTCTGATCGCAAGGGCTTCCTTGGAACAGAGATAGAAAAGGGACTCAAGGAGAAAAATCAATTCCTGCAAATGGTGACCTGTGTAGCAGGCCAGTCTCCCTGACAATACACCCTCTGCCTAAACATAGTTTCTTAACAAAACTCACTGCCATGGATTTAACTGGTGTCAGTAATGATATGTCCGTATTTTCCCCCAGATAACTCTTATCCTAACGAGATACTGCCGTGTCACCCTCTAAATTCCCGAGAGCATTTGGAAGGTTCTAAAAAATGTCCTCTAATGAGTGGTCCTTAACACCATTTACTTGCACATTTGCCCAGAGTCTTTGGGAGGGTATGTGGGACCTGGGACAGGGCTACACTGGGCCTTCTCCCAACACTGCTGCCTCCCCGTGGAAGGTGATGGAGGACCAGCTGATGCTGCGGTGCTCCCCCACCTTCACTGCACCCCCGATTCTCTCTCCCAAAGTGAGGCTCTCAGTCACTCCTCCCCTCAGCTGCAGGTAAGAAATAAACCGGGGACTTGACTGCTTGTTTGTTTGCTCTGAATGCTTTTTAAAACATTTGGTTGATTAGGGAAGAATCACAAGCTAGAAACCTAAAGAGAGATTTGCGAGGACTCCAGTTATGGTGACTATTTAACCACCGTATGTTTTCCGATTAACTTCTCTGTGCTTATTACACACGATTCAGCTAGAGTGTTGATGAGGAATTCAGTCAACCAGAAGACTTCACTTATGGGAGTATTTCTGTCCCAAGATTGAAAAAAGCACAATATTAAGTTTACAAAGTTACTAGCTCTGTTTGAAATTCCACTTAGTTCCCCGGAATTTTTTAAATGGTAAGAGGTAGACCACACCTGAAGCAGTCCATAAAAGCAAGTTATACTTCTGAGTACTGTAGCCTTTAATAATACAGAGCTCCTTCCTTGCTGGAGGTAGGGAGAGAGCACAACATGAGCAAATACATGGGTGGGCAAAAGTAGGTTTACAGTTGCATTGTGACCTTCTTTTTTATTGTTGACAGTATTATAGAAGTCCCTCACCACCCCCCCCCCCCACTTTGCTCTCCTGCACCCAAATCGTGCCCCACCCCAGGACTTCCCCAAACTACTGTCGTGTCCATGGGCTATGCATATATGCATGTTTTTTGGTTAATCTCTTTCTGTCCCCTACCCCCACCCACTCTGAGATCTGTCCATCTGTTCCATGCCTCTGGATCTATTTTGTTCATTAGATTCCACATGTAAATGGGATCAGGTGATATTTGTCTTTCTCTGACTGGCTGATTTCGCTTAGCATAATACTCTCCAGGTCCAGCACTGGAATTTTTCTGAGTGAATAAAGCTGCTGTGATAACCCAACTGCATGTCCTTTGCGCACGCGCCGTAAGGCTCCTCTGCCCTGCGCAGCCACTGTCTTCAGAACCGCACTGAGTCCAGCAATGGACTCGAGCCTCGGCTCCCCATAACTGCAGGGTGTGGCGGACACGCTTCGAGTTCATCTCTCACAAAGAGGCCAACTGCCCTCTGAAAGACGATTTCAACATCTCACAACTTTTACTTAAGATTTAGTCTATTAACCCAAATCCAAATTATGGACTCAACTGAACATTTCGGGTTCTGAAATGCAGAGATTCTTGAACCAATTACTAAGCATTCCAAATTCAACTTACGAGGATGTATGCATTTATTAGACTATGCTATGTAGCAGCTGGTCTGCAAGACAAACGTGTCTCTGAAACATGTTTCAGTTCAGTGTGTTCATCCCTCTTCCAGCCTCATGGAGACAAAGCTGGAATCATCGTAATACCCGATTCTTGAAGCACTTTCCTGTCTTTTATTTTGCTGTTATACTATACAATAAGCACCTGTAATCCTATCACTAAAATGAAAGCTAAGAACCTGACAAAATCTACCTCTTCCATAGGGTAGGCTCAGTGCATTGCATTTATGCAAATGCCATAGCATGTTAGCTTTCTGGGTGCGTGAGAGACTTTAAAGCACAGGATAAGCTTACCAGGAGAAAGATGCCTTCCGATAAAAGTACTCACATTGTCAGCACTTTTGGAAAGAGTACGTATTGAGCCCAGGAAGCCCAGGGTGGGGAGGAAGGTGGGTAGACGAGGACACTTGCGTCTGTGGCCATTTTCCTATTAGCAACACACTTTAGTCTTTTTCAGGAACAGACTATTTTCCAACTGTGACGCGGAAACAAAGCCCGCGAGGCGGCGCGGTCCGGACCCCTCCCCCGGACTGCTGCCCAGGCAGGCACCGGGCCATCGGACCCGCCGCTCCCGCCGCGCGGGGAGCATTTCATGCCGCACAGATGCACACGGTGCGAGCCAGAGACAGCCATGGAGATGGAGCAGAGGAACAGAAACGTGGCAAAAGACAACAAAAGCCCAGCCGAGTGACACAGCCGTACCAAGCGCGGCTCACCTGGGGATCTGGCTGTCACACAGGCACTGGAGTAGTGGCCACCCCTCTTTGCTGTGCACATGCACACACAGGGAGGAGGAGGAGAGTAAGGAGAGCGGTTATTCAGCAGGTCTAACACAGACAGAAGGGTAACCCCCTGGCCTGGAGAAGGGGTGGGAGCTGAAGGGGGGAGCAGCGACAAGGAGGAAGGCCCCCAACTCAGTATTTTATAACACGTTGGATGCTTGAGACAGTTTTCACTGATTCTGCTTTCACATGCTCTAGATTTCCCACATGTGGAATCAGGGTTTGTCACAACCCTTTCCTTAATGGGAAGTAATATTAGCAGTGTTATTCATGATTATACTATAAACAAAGCTTGTAGGATCACTATATCAAGATGTTTGTGGATGCTTTTATGTATTTTAAATGCCCAAATGGTCCAAATGATGACAAATCTGTAGGCATCAGACCTGAGAGAAATGGAATTACAGGTAAGTCTGACTCTTAAATAACTAACGCACTTCTCTCCAAGAAAAGTCGCTGGTACTATTAAATTGCATGAAGAAGGAAAACCTGTGGAGACCCATCGAGTAAATATCGTTAGGTTAGGTGTGTTTACGTGTAAGTTTTAAGTCAATAAGAGAAGAAAATGTCCATGACTATATAGCACAAAATCTAAAATGTGAAACACTTCTATGTAAATATCAGGAGAAGAATTGAGATAATAAGGTTGTTTTTTTTTAAAAAAAGTTTCAGAACAAGACAAATTAGTTTCTTAGAGGACCTAATATAACGTTGAGAAACAGACTTCAATGTTTGGTTTTAAAAATCATGTCTACATGCAGTTCTGGAAACTGGCCGTATATGAGCAATGGAAAGACGACAAATTCATAATAATTGAAGAAAACAAAAGGAGAATGAGATGCTCCTCCTGTGCCCATCATTCCTTTTCCATTACCTACCTGAGGCTGGTGATTTGCTGCGTCGAGAGGGCCCAGGGCTCTTGGATCCAGAGTACTTAGCGGAGGAGCGAGAGTAAGATGACTTCAAGACCCGGCACTCTAGAAAGGAAGGAGAACGTTAAATAGATCTGGCTGCAATACCAGCCAGAGGAAGAGCACGTGAGAACGTTGACTTCCAGACCTTACCTGATCATTCTTCTATTACTGTCCCAAAAATACACCTGAGGCTCTGCATCTGCGACATCACCTGGGTCTTCCAGATCGACACACAAAGCTATCGTAATCTAAACATGTGCAACTTTTCTTAGGCAGTAGCATTGATGGGCAAAGGCTGTACTTTTATTAGTCTTTCCAAATCTTTATCATATGTTGAAAGGGTATGTTAGGCTCTAATTTATGAATCCCTTACTGTCCCATCTTTCCAAACTGTGGAACACGAAAAACGAGGAAACCAACTTTAAACAAATACCTTTGGTCTTCCCACAAATATCCAAATAATGTGTGGCAGATCAGAGCTAATTACAGCTAAAATAAGCATTTCTAATTTGAATAATTAAGAACATGACTTTTAAAGTCATGGCAGATTTTGGATGACTCATAGATTTGACTTTGTCAACAAGGGGACCCTGGTTAGGTTTCCCCTTATAAATATGGAGTAAGAATAAAATCTGCTCCACAGGCTTGTTCCAAGGATTAAATTAGATAACATACTGTCTGTAATCTACATTAAAATGCTTCAATTTATGTAGGAAGATTAAAACGTGGGTTAGTTTTAATGTATGCCCCAAGGGCAATAAATTAACATGTGAAGTGCACTAATCAGGCGAATACACGCCAGGGGAGGGTAGTTAGCATCTGAAAGATTCTAATCAAAACCTTCTGCGGAGGGGGCTGTAGCTACTTCAGCTTAGTTAATTAGCATTATGGATGTTACTAAGTATTCCACTGTGGAGCGAGTGTGTGGGTGAGTTAGAAACACCTTAAAGGCACAGCCCCTGCTTTATGAGCAGGCTGTGTAAACCTGCAGAGCCAGCGGAAGGACTTCAGAATTCAACTCGGGTTTAGGCACCTCAGCCAGTCCCGCTTCCAGCTGTTAGGATTTTGCTACTTGACTAACCCTAAATTAATGAATTTTAATGCAAAATGTTGTCAGAAACCCAAAGGACAAAGAGTTGGGACTTCATCAAGATTACAACACAAGTTTAAAGAATCGATTGTTTTTAAAGTTGCCTTGAAATGTGTACCTGAGAGAGAATTAGGTCTGAGACCTGCTTTCATTGTAAAATTTTATGACCTGACGGTGGTGGCATAACAATAACATTAACAATAGCAGTAGCACATACAATGTAACCAGGGACCCTTCTAACTCCTTTACATACAGAGACTCATTTAGTCTTCACAGACTCTTATGAAAAAGCCACTATTACTATCCCCATTGCAGAAGGGTAAGGAATTGTTGAGCGGAATCGGTCAGCTTTCACTCATCTCTAATGAGTCTGTAGCCAACAACAAACTACCAATGATCCAACTAGCTTAGGTGAGTTTACAACATACATGTAAGCTGAGTTCAATGCCTAGCACATACATAGTAAGTGCTCAGTAAATGTTTCGTTGCTATTTGTGTTGTTATCCAAATTAACTTTATAACCTAGAACACATCATTGAGTTTTAGTATTATTGAGTTTCAGTGTCTCAATTTTCAAAATGAGCAAGATGGACATCAAAGAAATACTGTGAAATGAAATTATGCTAAAATCAAGATGTGAAATGCAGGTGACATGTAAATGCATGTTTCAATCAACCTACTCATCCATGAGCATCGGGGAGAGCATTACATGGGTAATAAGAAAGAACATCACCTGCAATTCTGTAAGGACTTTCCAGTGATGTTACCAGTTTAAAGCAGGACTAGTCCAATAGACTATATAAGGCAGTACAGAAATACTTAAATTTGGCAGCAGTGAAAAACTAATCAGAAAAACAAAAAGAGTAGATCAATGAACCCCAAGCACAAGGTAGATATACTACCCCAAGGCACTCTGGCCAGTTTGGCTCAGTGGTTTCAAAGGGGTGGCCCACTGGCCTTATAAGGCCTGCAAAAGCAGTCCCAGCTGACATCACAGGCCTCACCAAATTAGCCTGACCAAACATAGCAGGCTAATGTTTAAGTTGATAATTTTGTATGGCCTGCAAATGATGTTATAAACATCCAAATGGCCCTTGGCAGAAAAAAGGTTCCCTATCCCTGGTTTGGCCTGTAGACCTAAAAGGTTTCGGTTCGATTTCTGGTCAAGGGCACGTGCCTGGGTTGTATGTTCAATCCCTGGCCCTGGTTGGGGTCGTGCAGCAGGCAACCAATCAATGTGTCTCTCTCACATTGATGTTTCTCTCTCCCTCCCTCCCTTCCATTTTATTTAAAAATCAATGGAAAAATATCCTCTAATGAGGATTAACAACAAAAATCATGCCAACACAACTGACTTAGTGTAATGGGAAAGAATTACACAAGGAAATTTGCTACCACAGGATTGACCATTTTTAATTAAAAAAAATTTTTTTTCTTTATTGATTTTAGAGAGAGAGGAAGGGAGAGAGAGAGAAACATCGAAGAGAGAGAACACTGAACGGCTGCCTCCTGCATGCCCCTCTCTGGGGATTGGGCCCACAATCTGGGCATGTGCCCTGACCGGGAATTGAACCGGTGACCTCATGATGCATGGGTCAATGCTCAACCACTGAGCCACACCAGCTGGGCCATTTTGAATTTTTAAAAGTCAATGGATCATGGTATTTATTTGGTCATACACTTCTCTAATTCTGGGCTGTCAGAATCAGTACAACTGGAAGGGGTCTGCCTTCAGTCTAATTTTTGAAAAACTAACTTTGCTCATTCATGAAATTAAAGAATGAGATTGTATTTCTAATAACCCTCTTCTCTGTGAAATGTTTTGTCTGTATGATTTTACCTCGTTAAAGATGAAATTGACTTTATCAGTGAAAATAATCACTATTACTGTAATAGGTTTAAATTAATTCAAGACAACAGATTAAAGCACTATTTCCAGAAACAGTAACAATTTGAAATTACTGAGGTTACAGCTAAATAGTTGAAAACTCCATCTACTGGCTAAAATCAAGAGAAAATGATGACCCTACCCCATCCATGAAAATTGCCTTATTTTTTCTGCATATACAAACAATGCATGTAATTGCTTTTTAAAAGTTACAAACAAAACAATAAGGAAAAGAGACACCTGAGACAATCACTATTAACAATTTAGTTGCTATCCTTTTATCTATGTCTTTATGGACATATGTATCTCTTTAAGGACATGGAAAAGTACAACTAATTGTTTCAGGTTCACACTACCCACACATTTAAGGTGGCACAGCCAGCCTCCATTTTGAAAGAGGGCAGAAAATGCTTTTCTGAGGCAAAACAATGCAGTAAAGAGATAGAACAAAACTGCTAAAAAATGATTTTTTTTATCCTCACCCAAGGATATTTTTCCATTTTTTGTTCAGATACAGTGGGAGGGGAAGGGAGAGAGAGAGAGAGAAACATCGACATGAAAGGGACACATTGAGTGGCTGCCACCTGCACAACCCAACCAGGGCCGGGGACAAACCGCAACCGAGGTACGTGCCCTTAGCGGGAACCGAACCCGGGTCTCTCTGGACCACAGGCCTAGGCTCTAACCGCTGAGCCAAATTGGCCAGGGCTGAATTGTTTTGTTTTTTACAACTAGGTAAATACTTTCGTTTTACTCTCTACTCTCATTCACAGAAAAAGGGCACAGCCAATGCCACCGTTCCTCGAAGACGACCCGGGGACCACTTAACATGCAGCAAGTGTAGTGCCGAACCCAGGCCCCCATTTCAGGGTACGGAGATGGCCCACGACCGCCTTACCGCTGTGATCCAGGACAAAGTCATCTTGGGCATAACGGAATTTCTCAGGTCCACAAGCAATAAAAACATCGTCGTCACCAAAAAAGTCCTGTAGGCAAGTAACCTAAGAGCAAAAATTACATCCAGGAAATAAATTAGAAACAGTAGAAATGAAGTAAAAAGTCTGCAAAATTAATTACGTTTTTAAACCTCAACTATAATATTGAGTTGGAATGAAAAGCTGTTTGGCATCACATCTGCAAGAATTTTACTCTTCACAAGGTGCGTTCCCGGTGTCCCCTGACCTCAGAACAACAGAATGAGGTGCTCCCAGCCGGCATCAACATTCCTCTTTCCCGGTGAGTCAAAGGCGTGCACACGGGGTAGAGGGGCGTTTCGGGTTTGCGTCAAGGGCGGCAAAGCTGGGCTGGCGGTGCTCCCTGCTCTCGGCGTGCTGGTCTGTACTGCTACCCTCCTCCCTCTTCCAGCAAGGGACCTCCCACCACGTCACCTTGGCCTGACCTCCCTGCACCTGTGGTACAGCCAACCTTTGGATGTTTGGGGGATTCATGCATGGAAACTGCTCGGAATGGGTGCCAGGCATTTAAGTCCAGTTTCCCTCTTTATCTGCGGGGGATACACTTCATAACCCCTCAGTGGGGTCCTGAAACTGTGGTCAGTACCAAACTCTGTATTTACTATGTCTTTTCTATACACACACCCCTTTTCCCTTAGGGGAGGCACTCATCCTTCTCTTCGGCATATCTGAACTGCCAGCATCACTACTTCTGCGCGCTGGGGTCATGATCGAGTGAAATGAGTGTGACCCGAATACAGCACTGCAAGGCCAGCGAAGGGTTTCCTAACCTTGTCTCCACTGCTCCCCTAGACTCAGTCATCCCTGTTCTCACAGGTGTGGAAATAAAGATCGCAATGTTACCTCCCGCCTCCCAAAGGCACCAGGGTGACCACGCACCGCTTAGGGGCTTCCTTCAGACCAGATAATGCTCCTCCATAGGGCACCCAGGATGGACTCGCCCGACCCCAACCTTGTCTTTGCCGTATCTTCTGCATGTGCCCGCCTCAGGCACGCAAGGCTACTCCAGGTCCCCTCCCTGCACAGTGCTGGTGGCTCTCTTTTGTTAAACAGCTTTATTGATATAATTCATGTACCAGATGATCCACTCAAAGTATACAATTTGCTGGGTTTCAGTGTATTCAGAGTTCTGCAACCATCACCACAACCTATTTTAGAGTATTTTCATCACCTAAACAACCACCCCACGTCCATTAACAGTCATTCCCCATGCCTCCCTCTCCTCATCCTGGGACCCCCATAAAATACTTTCTGTCTATGGATTTGCCTATTTGGGATGTTTTGTGTTAATCAAACCCTACACTACATGGCATTTTGCAACTGGTTTCTTCCACTCAGCCTGTTTACAAGGTTCCTCTACGTTGTAGCACATGTTGGTACTTCATTCCTTTCTATGGCTAAATAAATACTCAGTTAAATGCATACACAGCATTCTGTTTTGCCTCAGTTCATGGGCATTTGGGTAACTCCTGCATCAGGGCTGGTCTTGCCACTGTGTTCCCTCATGCTGGTCACAGCCCAGAGTTGCCTTTCTGGCCTCTCTTTAAAAAATTTTTTTCTTTATTGACTTTTAGAGAGAGAAGAAAGGAGAGGGAGAGAGAGATAGAAACATAGATGAGAGAGTACATCAACTGGCCGCCTCCTGCATGCTCCTCACTGGGGATCAGGCCCACAACCTGGGTGTGTGCCCTGACCGGGAATCAAACTGGCTGCCTCCTGGTGCATGGGTCGATGCTCAACCACTGAGTCACACCAGCCAGGCATTCTGACCACTCTTTAGTGACATGACCTCCAGGTGGGCATGGATATTTCCTACTTATCATTTCCTAGGCTCTAGTCGAGTATTAGCTTTGGTGGATGCTTAATGCGTGTTTGTTGAAGGAACCGTGGCTTGGTATGGAGTTGTTCCCATTGGAGCTGGGTTCACAGACACAAAGTAACTTCTCTGCGATCCGTGCCATCTCCATCGCCATCAGTTATAATCAGGACTTCCTGAGCTTAGGCATTGCAAAGGTGACATTTGAACAAAACAGTATACAAGGTCAGGGAACAAGCCACACAGGTATCTCGGGAAAAGTGTTCCAGGCAAAGAGAACAGAATATACAAAAGCCCTGTGGAGCGATCAGTCTCAGTATGTTTGCATGAAACAGTCCTGGAACAGAGTGGGAGAGGGGAGTCGTTGTGGGAGAGAAGGTGAGAACGGTAAGGGGAGGCAGAGCAGAATGAAGGGCCCTGTCAGCCGTTGGTAAAAACTCCGGCCTTATGCTGAGACGGGAAGCACACTGGAGGCTTCTGAGCAGAGGACAGCGCACATGGCTTGGTTCTGAAAGGGTCACATGTGTTCAGACCACACTGCACAAGGGCAGGGACCAAGAGCAGTGTAGTTAGAGGCCATGGTTACTTCAGGCAAGAGACTGGAGTGGCTTGTGCCAGGGTGTTAGGAGCGGAGGGAGCGAGAAGGGGTCACACCACGCCTTGGCATCACTACGCTTACCTAAGCTATAAACTTACACACTAGGAACAAAAAGCAGCGGCAGGCAGAGACGCGAGTTGTTGAGCACGATTAAAGGTGAACCAGGGAGATTTCTCTTCTGTTTTCACTTTCACTGTATAGAATAATGCACTATGGTATTATCTAAGGGTAGGTGTCAGCCCACGAAGCCCTGGCCGAGCATCAGCTTTGGCTGGGAGCAGGGTACCACGTGTCTGAGCCTGACTGCCTCCTTCCTTTAGACATGTGGAATTTGGGGCAAGACACCCTCTCTGAGGCTCAGTTTATCTGCCTACAAAATGGGCAAGAAACCAACTTCATATACTCTTTTTTTTTTTTTTTATCCTCATCTGAGGACATTTTTGCATTTTCAGATAGAGTGGGAGGGAGAGAGGGAGGAAGAGAGAGAGAAACATCGACGTGAGAGACACACATCAAGTGGTCACTACCCACATGATGCCAATCAGGGCCAGGGACAAAATGCAACCGAGGTACATGCCCTTAGCACAGTGGTTCTCAACCTTCCTGATGCCGCAACCCTTTAATACAGTTCCGCATGTTGTGACCCCCAACCATAAAATTATTTTCATTGCTACGTCATAACTGTAATTTTGCTACTGTTATGTCTTAGGTGACCCCTGTGAAAGGGTCGTTCAACCCCCAAAGGGGTCACGACCCACAGGGTGAGAACCGCTGTACCGGAACCGAACCCAGGACTCTCCGGTTCACGGGCTGACGCTCTAACCGGCCAGGGCCAACTTCATATACTCTTTAAGAACTAAATATGATAGCATGTGAAAGCAGTTGGTACCATATTATTTCTTCATTTCCGTTAATTTAGGCCTCAAATATTTCTTTTTAATTTAACTTAATGGATAATCAAAGTATAAACAAAATAATAAGTAATGCTTTCCTATAAGTTTAATAGATTAGATATTTCCCAAAAAAATATCACTGACAACTTGGAAACATTCCTTTGACAGCCTTCACTGGGAGAAAATTACCATAAAAAAAACCAATGAACAAAATACACTGATGAACTAAACAGAAGCAGAGGCACGGATACCCGGAGCAGACTGACAGCTGTCAGAGGGGACGTGCGGAGGGGGCGACTGGATGAAAGAAGGGGAAGAGATTAGCCAAAGAACATATATGCACAGTCCATGGACACAGACAACAGCGTGGTGAAGGCCACAAAGGGGGGCTGGGGACTGGGTGGAGGTGGGCAAAGGGGAGGATAATGGGGACATCTGTAATGGTGTCAACAATAAAAAAATTTAAGATATCTTAAGCTCCCAGAAATTATATATAAACATGATTAATATTTATATATATGTGGGTCTATGTATACATATAACAGACATGTAAAATACATATAAATATGTTTATATGCATATATTAAAGGATAGATTCTACCAACATCCTCCAAGAATAATTATTTAAAAATCTGACTTTAACATATAAAAGCAAAGCATTGGTTTATATCTATCTATGTAAGCTACACATAACTATCAACATTTTAGATAATGTAGATAGAGAGAACTGCGAGCATAGTTCATAGTTCGTGCTAAAATTACATTTGTGTGATATTAGGCCTCCATGTAATGCAATTATTAATCACCCATGCTTAAATTTCACAAGTATATGGGACTACATATTGCATTGTTTCTAGCACTACCTCATACTCAGTTGGTACTTTTTAAAGCGAAACATCTAATAAAATGCCCAGGGTCTTATGTATGCTAAGAAAACTCTCTTACCAACAGGGCCACGTTAATTTACTACTATACATGCATTCGAACTTGAATCAAGTACCAACCATACGTCAGGCATGAACAGAAGACAAGAAGCACACGGTCTAGTCATGGAAATGGACACGAAAATTAACAATCACAGTTCAAAATGTCTCACTAGGAGAATGTTGTAACAGAACATCTGTTATGGGAATAAGGAAATACAAAGAACTAACTTAGTGAAAAAAGCATCCCATAAAATGAAATATTCAATACCTAAGTATATTTCATATGTTTGGACACTTACATAATTCTATCTTTTTTTTTAAAGGATATTTCTTGTTCTTGAACTCTGGTGGTCTGTTCGTTCCTTTAATCATAAATTTTAAAACTGAGATTTAACCTTGAGTTATCTGACTCAGAAAAAGTAACCTATCAATACCATGAATAAAGTCTAAAGTCATTCTTTTTTTTTTTTATCCTCACCTGAGGATATTTTTCCATTTTTTTGTACAGATAAGAGTGGGAGGGAGAGAGAGGAAGGGAGAGAGAGAGAGAGAAACATCGACATGAAGGGACACATCGAGTGGCTGCCACCCGCACGACCAACCAGGGCCGGGGACAAACTGCAACCGAAGTACGTGCCCTTAGCGGGAACCGAAACCGGGTCTCTCCGGACCGCAGGCCGATGATCTAACCGCTGAGCCAAAGTGGCCAGGGCTCAAAGTCATTCTTAACAAGGGTAAAGGAAAGGGTATCAGTCAGGGAAATCCTCCTGTTTGCCTCTAATTCCTTCTCCAGT